GAGAGAGAGAGAGAGAGAGAGAGAACAAAAAAAGAATCGAAGAAGCCACCGGTCGACTTGGGTGCAGGACAAGACGACCCGATGTCGGAAGCGGATCGCGACCTCGTGTCGACCCGCGGTAGTCCTCACCTTCGCCTTCGTGCGCCGCCGCCGTCGTCGTCGCCGCCGTCGTCGTCGTCGCCGTCGCCGCCTCTCTCTCTCTCTTTCTCTCTCTCTCAGTCGCTCTCGCCGGGGGCCACCGTACCGAAGGCGTCCGCGCGACGAGCCAGACCAGCCGCTACGCAAGATGGCTGTGTGTCGCTGACGGGTGCCCGACAAACCGGACAGGAGTACAGACAGTCCGCGGATAAGCGGAACATGCGGCTACGTGACCGTCGGGCCCGTCCCTGAAGAGAGAGACACTGGCCAAGAAGCGAGAGGTGAGTGAAGCAGTACTTCTATGTGTTTTATGTGTATGAGTGTACATACATGTGTGTACGTACGAGTAAGTTTCTCTCTGCCGTTTTTCGCCGTCGCTCTCTTTCTCTCTCTCTCTCTCTCTCTCTCTCTCTCTCTCTTTCTCTCTCGATTTTTTATCTTTTTATTTGTCCGTCGACAAACGATTTTCCACGGTCGCTTATTCGCTCGGTTGCTTGCTCCTTATTTTCTCTTTTTTTCTTAGTCTACTTTTTTTCGGAGTACACTTCGGAGTAGAATCGGAGTTTCTTCGATGTGACCAACGTGACAGGAGACAGAGGTAAACGTTAATGTTAAATATCCATTCCTGGCTCACATTATACACGGCGTGCACGTTGAACGCTAACGGCTGACGAGCGAGCGAAACCATACGTGCCATGGACTCTACCGGCATCGTCGTATACGAGACGAAAATATAATACACGCACACGTACGCGCGTGCACTACATAGCTGAAAAGTATAAACAAGTCGAGAATCTTCTCCTCGTCCTGGATGTCTTCTTTAATGACGTCGATCGTGCGCTGGTCTTCAGAAGTTCGCGATAACAGCCAACCGATCCAACCACGTATCTCTCTTTCTCTTCCTTTCTCACGCGAAGTTGTCCGTATTCTCGTCTCTCTCCCTCTCCCTCTCTTTCTTTGGCTCTGTCTCTGTCTCGTGTTCTTCTTGACCGAGACCGAAAATTCACTCATCATTGGGAATCTTCCACGACGTAGATAGAATTACACCTCGTGCTCGGTATCTTGGCAAGGTTTTCGCGCATTGATAACGACCTGTCTCTTCTTCTTCTTCTTCTTTCTCTATCCCCGTTACCTTTCTCTCGCATCCGCAAAATACACTCGCCCTCTCTCTCCGTCTCTTCCCTTGCACATACACACATACTCTTTCTCTCTCCCCAGCATACGCTGCGTGTCTGGCAGTCTATCAGTGCCTGTACTTTGTCGGTCCGCACTTTCCCCCGTACCAGGCTCCGTCCTGTCGATTGAATAGCTCTTACTATGATTCCTATTCTATACATGCGTGCTGTACAATTGCGGAATGGGAAACGGAGACCCTAGAAACATCTGTCGACCGGAGGCCGACCTAACCTCCAAAACTGCGGGAAACCTATTATCGTCATCATCGTCGTCATCGTCCTCGTCATCGCGCGTTTTATTTTTGAATGTGCGAGCAATCTGATCCAGCTAAAAAGCTCATCATATATTTGCTCCGGAATAGAGAACCGTCCCCGTGCGAAGCTTTTACGAGATGCTCTGTCTTTCAACTTTGTCGAAAGCGACGGAGTTTTTCGCTCTCGGTCACTCTCTTCGATGTAGATCGACTCCCCCGGGGAGATCTCCGCTCTCTTCGGAGGCCGGCTTCGTGAGAGCGCGACAAACTGAGGGGAGTCGAGACGAAAACGTTAGTCACGATGTGCCTTCCACAGGAAAACGTCAGTCATGGGCTTTCCTTACGAGTCGATTGATTTTCGATGTAACTTATCGCGAAAGCATTCTTACGTTGTGCGCGAATTTGCGGTGCCGAAATGGGTGGAACTGCATTAACCGTGGAATGCCACTCGTATTTACACTGTTTACACATATACATGACACTCGTATATTACTCTAGGGTGAAAATTCATCTACAAATTAAGAATTTTTTTACACTCTTTTTGTCTATTTTGTAAGTTGCAAAGCGGTGGAAATGTATATACAATTTTTCTATACAGACATGTATGTACTGATATAATGAGAAAAATGTTTGATTGAAAATGTTTGACAAACCAGTAGATTCTAATTGTGTCAATCAGATGATTTAATCAGAATTCTTCTGATTGCATCTGTCTATTTTCAATCAAACCATTTTTCTCAGTGCACATCCATTGTTGTTTAGTATTTTTATTAGTTGTAACAATAATATTATGTAAACAGATAAGGATTTGATAAGTGTTTTATTCAATAGTTGAAGCAATTTTCCTGATAAAAATATATGCAATTTGCGTAGATACTTGCTTAATCATTATCTAGTATATTAACAGATAATTAAAATACTGCTTATTCATCTATTGTTCATATTTAATAAATGGATTCAGATTTTGCGCGCAATAATTGCTAGCAAAGCATTACATTCTTCACTGAGATCCTAAGTAGTTCTACTTTTTAGTTATTAGGTAGATATTATATACGTAACTGTTCAAATAATTGCTCAAAGCAT